ATATTTAAAAAGTTAATGCTCTTGTTCAAGTATTCAAAGAAAGAAGAAATAGTGGTGGCCCCTATTACAAATTTGCTTTATTTTCATCACTAAAGTGATGAAACTAAAGCAAATTTGAATATCCGTTTTTATTGAGTTTCCATTCACAATAAAAATTTCAAAAATGATTCAGCTATTGATCCAAACGCCTTTTTACATGAAACTAAAAGAGTCAATTGAGAAAATGTTGCTTGCTGATAAAGATGTTAATTTAGCCCAATGGGCTCGCATCTTAGTCCAAAATCATTGGCCTGAAAACATAAACACTCAGGTGACATTTGGAGAAACTGAAATCAGAAACCTGTCATTAAGACTACAGTTAAATAAAAGAGAAATGATTCGTTGATTTTGTGAATACCTTGCAGAACAAATATATCCTGAAAATTTAGTTTATTTAGCACACACTCTACGTACTATCCCCATTTCCTCAAGTAAATGCGAATGAGAGTTTTCACAGATGAGTCTAATCATCACACAAACAAGGGCTTCATTAATGACAAAAACAGTTTCAATGTTGTTATTCATAAAATTAGTGAAACCACCGCTAACAAGCTTTGATCCTTCAAAGTACGTTGATTCGTGGTTACTTAGCGGAAGGCATTCAGCATTAGACACTAAGAGCAAGGAAAGGAGATAAGAGGATATGTACAACGAAAATTTGAAAAAACTATGGGATTTGTTATAGAAGTTTATAGTTTTGTAAAGTTTGTATTTTATATACAGTGACATGACCCATCACTCTACTCATCCCCTACCCAAAAAAAAACTGTCATTATTTAAAAAAAAGCTTCATTTATTGGAAAATGGTTTCTTATATTTGTTCCCGCCTTTATGGGTATGATATGCAGGGGAGCCTACCAAAGGTTATATATATAAAATTTATTCACAAATTAAATTACTGATTTCTGCCTTATTTTTGAAATATAAAGGAAAATACATGTGAGTTCCGGCAATTTTTTTTTTAAAAAAAGCACTATATATATATATATATATATATATATATATATATATATATATATATATATATATATATATATATATATATATATATATATATATATATATATATATATATAACAAATGAATAACTATTAAATAAAATTTAACAACATCTTTCATCAATATCAATTGATATCATCAGGTAAAAAAAAATACAATTTCTATATACAAACAATTTATTTAGCTGCATTAAAAATTTAATAGTTTTACAATAGTTACCATAATTACATTTTATAAGATAAATAATTACTGTCTGGTAGTTTCACCAATGTATTCAGCATTACAGCTGGAACAAACAAATTTATAGACAACAAAGGATTTTAAATTTAGAGGTAAGGGGTCTTTTGATGAAAGCATACTACTTATTTTAAAAGTTGTAAAAACTAGTCTTACTTTTATATTATCTTTACAATATTTTAAATGTATTTAATTAATTGATGATGAAATGTATTTGAAAATTTTCCAATATAAGGGAGTTTAAAGTAATGTATATCAGATGGTTTTTCAGATGACATGTTTTCTTTAGGAGAGATAAGATTGTTTAGTAAACTTTTGAAGGTTTTGTCAATTAAGTTGTAGAAAGAAGAGTTTTATTGGAGAGTTTGTTTAATTTTTACAATATGAAAACTTTCTGTTTTTTGAAGGCTCTTTAGATCAGAATTTTAATGAGTCCTAGTTCATAATTAATATTAGTGAAACTTTTAAAATTTGTTTGTAAAACTGTGTATTTTTTTTTTGTAAAATGTTGAAGTATTTAATTTATAATTTACAGAGTTATTAATTATATCAATAAAGCTCAATTTGCAATCAACCAGGGTAACTTAGTAAACTTAAGAACAGTCACAGTAAAGGAATAAGACTTCATTGAATGATGCATAACATGAGAATGAATTTTAGTATATGGGACAAGAGACACTAGCGCCTATCATAGTATTTGTAGAAAAGAGAAAGAGAAGCATAATTAAGAGGATGTGGCAATGATTGAAGTTTGGCTGCAAGAACAAGTCCAACTACGTTTACGCTTTTGCACCTTGTCTAAAAGAGAAAGGGTGTCATTGGAAGATCCATCTTAGATATGGCAACTATTCCATAAAAGTACGGACAAATTCAGAAGTATAAAGGTGGCAAGGACGATAAGAAGATGCATGCTAATTTATTTTGAAATGGATTTGATATATGGTTTTTGAGAATGATCAGAAGTAAGAGTTAATTCTAGTAGCAAAAGTGTAGATGATTCATCAAATATATTACTGTTTATAAATATAGGAAGATCTCGATTATTGTTATAACGATTAGCTAAAAACTATTTAGTCTCATCTGAGTTAAAGTTCACCAGCCATTGAGTAGCAGAAGTAAGATCCTAGCACTGACTAAAATCTAAAACCCATGCATTGAGTCTTGAGGTTCCAGCATTCAATGTCCTAAATTGGAAACAATGTATTGCAAATTCATCTACGCCAGCCTAATAGATGAAGACGGGTGCGAAGCTGGTCAACATAGAATATGTTACCTCTTTGTCTTTGCCTAGGAGGCTTTCTACTAGACAGTAGCTGGATGCATTAAATGTCTGCCCAAGGTGAGTTTTTATCGAGACATTTTTATCTCTAGCTTTTACTCAACCAAGAGCTCCACAAGTGTTTTTTTATATCAGAGTTGGCTCCTCCTAGCCTTTGCCTGAAAAAACTAGGAGATATTTGTATCCTATATAGGGTAGGATACAAATATGTTGCATGGTAGGAACATGTTACCATGTTGGCTTCATTGAGCTAGACAAGATGCGATAGTTGTTATGCTATGTGTAACATAGGTTAGGAGGACCTGAGGCATAGTCAATAGGGTATACCATAAACTAGTATAGTTCTCCTTTGCTAAACTGTTTGCCAGCTTTTCTTCATTTTTGATATCTTCTTGTTTTTTTTAAAGTGACAAATGGCATATTTATATGAAGCTCTTTTTAAAGCATTAAATAAAAGCATTTTCAAAGAGATTAAAGATTTTTGTAAAGCTTGTCATAGACAGAATGCGTATTTAGCAGTCTTATGAGCTTACATAATCCGGACAGTTTTGTATATGTTGATTTTTATTACTTCATTTAAAAGTATTAAGACACTAACATTAAAATTGAGTAGGACAGACATTGCTTATATTGTACAGCCAATTAATCTGCTTAATATACTCATGTAAATTACAATGGAGATTTCTACCTCCATCTTATTCATTAACTACCTCTATCTACTACTTATCTATTCATTACTACTACTTATCTTATTCATTAACTACCTCTATCTACTACTACTATCTTATTCGTGTTATTTCAATATATTGAATTGGGTGAGCAATAGAGCTGAATGAGATATCAATTTTAAATAAGTCAGATAAACTGGTTGACTAAATTATAATGAAGTTAAAAACAAAACATCAAGAACTTTAAAGAACAAGGCAGCAATCAATTCAACAAGTTTACAAAAGTAAAGAAATATTTAGAAAAAAAGCTATTAGCTATGACAAGATGTTTATCATTAAAAAAATAATCATATAATGGTAATCAAGGATCACAATTTAATTTTTATAAACTGTTATTTCATTTATATAGTTTTATGTAGTTTTTATAAGCATGCTGTCAATCTGTGCAGGGAATCTAGTTAAGTCTCAATTTATTAGAATACTTCATTCTGTTTAGTTTAAGGGTTAAGAAACGAGATAGTGTATCCTATATAGTAGTAGAACATATAATTTCAATTTTTAGTTATCTGGCAGGATTTAAGTTCAACTGATTTAACTAGGATCTATTTTTTAGTAGATTTAATTAGGATGTATCTTTAGGTCGATTAGGCCATTTTGAAATAATCAACTTATCGGGTGCCCTTACCACTTTAACGTTACCTAAAAAAGTCTGGGTTGATCCCTTTTGTTTGTAAACCAGGTAATGTGGGCTCTTAATGTACTTTTAATATACTGTTTTATAATTAGTTGCTGTTAAGTTCAATTGAAGCACAGAAGTTGCACAAAAAACAAAATAGAAATGGATTGTGGGAATAACAGTCGAATATATTCTCCAAAATTCGCTACCAACGATAATCCACCTGAGTTGGACGCTATATTTGTTACTCGGTTTAAAAAATGTTTCTTTGTACTTAGCGGTTTGCTTTTATATAAAAAAACTTTTTCTGTTGTTTATTATTATAATTATGAGAAGAAAATCTGGGAATCTTATAAGTTGCCCAGTGAATAGTCTGGTACCCATTTAAACCCTAATTGCATATCCGGCGAGGATAGCAAATGGTTACTCATTTGGATACCGTATCTGTGCACATATGGTCCCCCTTACCCTAAGTATTGTAAAATTTACTTGTGAATAGTTAATCGCAGCAACTAGGTATTTTAACTTTTTTTTACGCTTGAGAATATATTATTTTTCATCATCATTTAAGAACATATCATTTTTAAACATGAACTCAAAAGGAATACGGAATGTGTTTAGACTTTAAAATCAAACTAATACAAAACGTTGTTTGGTGTTTTCTTTTGTGTAGTTGTGCAACTTTTTTGATAGTGTGACACTACCAATCTTCTGGAGCCTGAGCTGTGGAGTCACTGTATTTTAGAGGAACCACAAAAATGTAGCTGCTCCTGCGTTTTTTTAAAAAAATGCAAACTTTACTGTTTAATTAAGCAAGAGATTGATGTTTGAGAAAAAAAAATTCTAAAAATTTTTTTTTTTACAGCTTTACAATCCTGGACACTACTATGCACAATCCTGAACACTTCTATAAGTATATAAAAAAAACTCCTTTTCAATTTCAATTTAGATGTTTTGCAGTTTATGACGTATAATTCATTGTTAGATGCTATACAGACATACGAAGAAGAAATGATTACAAAGTATCGTGTCGCAAAGGAATCAAAAGATTTTTCAAAAGATGGTAAGCTCAAATAAATAAAGTTTATTTCTGACCTACACTAAATCTAAAGGGTTCTTCGGGGTTCTTTGCCAGTTCTTTGAAGAACCTAAAGGTTCTTGGAGAAATTTTAAAGTTCTTTAAAGAAACTTTGGGTTCCTAATATCCTTTAACGGTTCTTTGAAGAACCGGCGGCTTATTCACAAAGTAATACAAAAAACCAACAAGGATCTACTAATCGCTTTACAGAAACCCTTGAAGAACCTTAATTTAGGGTTTTTCAAATCTTTTATAAACGCTGTTTTATTTTTCTAAGAGGTTGTTAACTTTTTTTATATAAGTAGACTAGTATGAATTTATAAAGAGTGATATAGTAACAATAGAAAATGATTATCATGACAATATTTGATTTGTGCTTTAAACATTTGAGATGTTTTTATTAACGTTGTTACCATCAACAACGATTATAAAAGTAACACTTTTTTTTTTGTTTTTTTTTTTCGAGCATTTTTCTTATTCCTATATGCTTTGATCATGCAAATTTTATTATTGCGAATGGGTTTATTTAGATAAACAAATATATCATTTGTTAAAATTTAAAAAATGACAGCTTATTTGAACTGGAGTATAGAGGATGTTTGCTTACACTTAAAACTTAAAGAACTTAGAACATATATATATATATATATATATATATATATATATATATATATATATATATATATATATATAATATATATATATAATATATATATATATATATATATATATATATATATATATATATATATTATATATATATATTCCCACAGTTTGAAAATTTTGGACTCTAATACCAAAAACAACTCCTATGAAAACTCTTTTGAGGGGTGTTAGTACATATGATAGGGATCTCATAACAAGTAATTTTGAAATCAGGGGTTACCTTCCGCAAGACTTATTTGACTTTATTAGTTTTATCTTAATGAAACGCTGTGACTTTTACTGAAAATTTTTTCTGACACAAGTTTACACAACTTTTCCAAATATAACAAGTATCAAAAGGTTAATAAAGTGTTACTTGATGGTATTTGGTGTATTTTAAAACACCAGTGTGATTTTTTTATATTCTTATCACCAAAATAATGTCAACCAAATTACGGCGATTATTTTCCGGGAAAGGGCTGCATAAATATCATAGTTTTGAAGAAAAATTCGTAGAATGTGCATCAAAAATGCCCAATTCAGCAAAAACCTATGAGGATTGTCAAAAATCTGTGTGCATTATCTGCATGAAGAAAGGAGACCAAGTTCTGACAGACTTTTTAAAGCAAAGGATTCAGCGCCTCATCAAGAATGATCTGAGCTTCAATGACTGCAGAGTTCCTCTTGCCTCATGTCAGACATGCCGTTTTAAACTGAAAAAGTTTGAAGATGGGGATCCTAAGATGTGTTAACCAAGATTGTACAGGTTTGAAGACATCCAAATAAAACCAGCAACTCGAAGTTCAAACACCTGTGATTGTTTGATCTGCCAAATTGGGAGGCTCAAAGGTAAAGAAACTCACCCACTTGAGCAAAAAGACCAGCCTGCAACAACCAGTCAGCCACCTAAAAGTTCAGAAAAACGTTGTACAAAATGTTTGTCTGTTCTCTCACGAGGCCTTTCTCATCATTGCACAATTGGTTCACGCCATGAAAACTTGAAGCAACTGGTATTTTCAGATCCTAAAGGAGCTGAACAAGTTGCATCTTCCATTGTTGCATCTAAGGAAGCATCTCATGGAGGAACAATTCGACGTGGGGTGCATTTTCCAATCAGAAAAGGTAAAATGTATACTTACCACATTCTTCTTTAGAGAATGCTAATAGGTTTCGTTTTATTAGGTGGTGTTGTTGCTCAAGAGCTTTTTCCTTCCAGATTTTCAACAGGGGATATGGTTCAAATTCAACAGAATAAAGGATTGTCTAACAATGGAATGAGGAAACTTGGATCGTTCATCAATCATATCAGCCCAACAAGATTAGTTGAACCAAACTTTCAAAAAAAGTTTGCTGAGTCTGGACAAAAATTGCAGGACTTTTTTACTGTCAGCAGCTTGAAGATTTTGGATTCTGGAGAAAACAGGGTTCTGGTTCATTGCAAAAGCATTAAGGACTTGAAAGACAGGATTGAAGAAGAAATTGGCTCCTCAAAGACTGCCTTTGCAAAGATAGGTATTGATGGAGGAGGGTCATTTTTAAAAGTGAGCATTGGAGTTATTGATGAGGAAGAAAACAACCTAGAGCCTCACAGTCCTGTCCAAAAATCTGTAAACTCACGACACAAGTCTCAAAGCAAACTAGTGTGAAAAAGCAATTTCTTGTGGCTGTTGCTGATGACACTCCTGAAAATTATTGGAATGTGCAAGAGATTTTTCGACTCATCAAGCTTCAAAAACTAATCCCATCAGAAGCTGCAGTAATTTCTTGCAATATGAAACTTGCAAACACTATTTGTGGCATCCAGTCTCATTGCAGCAAGCACCCTTGATGTTGGTGTGATATTGAGTCTTCAAAGCTTCTTCTTTGTGTGAATCCCCGATCCTTTGGAGCTATAAGAGCTCAACATCAAAGCTTTGTGGGTAGTGGCGGAGATGTAAGAAGATCCAAGGAGTTCCAAAATGCTGTCCACAGTCCTTTAATCTTTGGTCCTGATCAAGTGCTGATTTTGGAGTTCATCCCACCTATGGAGCTTCACCTTCTGCTAGGGGTGGTCAACCATCTGTTCAAATGCTTAGTGTAAAAATGGCCAAAGGCCACAGAATGGCCAACTTCATTGCACATCAAGATTCAGCCTTTTCATGGAGGGCACTTCAATGGCAATGACTGCATGAAGCTTCTGAGGAAAATTGACAATTTGGCTGAAATGGCTGAAAATGAGAGCACTTCTGAGCCATCTTAATTCATTCAGACATTCAAAGACTTTCATGAAGTTCACTCTGCATGCTTTGGAAAAACTTTACATCCCAACTATGAGGAAAAAATCACCATCTTCAAAAACAGTTACATGAGTTTGGGAATCTCTGTTACTCCAAAGGTTTACACTGTTTACCACCATGTGACACAGTTCATCAAGCTGAAAGAGAAAAGCCTTGGTCTATACAGTGAACAAGCCACTGAAACACTGCATTCGGATTTTGGCAAGCATTGGGAGCGATACAAAAGATTGAACACCCATCCAGACTACTCCAGTCAACTCCTGAAGTGTGTCATTGATTATAACAGCAAGAAAACGTAGAGTAGCTTGCTATGAGGCACTGACCATCAATGAACATGTTGCATTTTTGAGAATTTATTAGTTTATTTTTAGAATGTATTTATTTTGTAATAAATAAATGTTTTAAGATGTATTTTTATCATTTGTTACCTTTTTACTTCATAATATGGTAATTTAGGGCAGCCATATATTTTTGGAGGAATTTTGGAATTTTTCAGGTTTCGTAATTTAAAAGCAAAAACTTCAATGTTGAATAAGTCTTGCGGACGGTAATCCCGGATTTCAAAATTACTTGTTATGAGATCCCTATGATATGTACTAACACCCCTCAAAAGGGTTTTCATAGGAGTTGTTTTTGGTATTAGGGTTTAAAATTTTCAAACTGTGTTCCAATATTGAATTTTAGATAATTCTTCAAACGACTGCGACTTCAGAAATCTCACGTTAATTCGTACATCTAGTTTCAAGGAAAAACATTTATATATTGGACAATGGATTTAACACTAGAAAACTTTTTTTATAATTGATGACATATTTTTATAAACATAGACATATTCGATTGTAAAATAAAGTTTATTTTTGTTATTTGTTTGAAAGTATTTATATAAATTGTTTAAAAATAGTTTTTTTTTCTTTATTGCCATATGTTGAAATATATGTTAAATATTTAGGAAAGTCGTTGTTTACAATTTTATTTTCGACCTTAAGCAACTAGCTTAAATATCTTAAATAATTATAATTAACTATTAAAAATCTATTAAATGATTATATATTGTATAATATATAATATAAAAAATGTTCAAGAAGTCAAAAAAGTATCCTTGTAACGAAGTAATTATGCAAAAACATTGAACGGTTCGATGAAGAACTATAACGTGTTCTTTAAAGAACTTTATTTTAAGGTTCTTCCGAAGAACCTTTGCAAAGGGTTCTTCAAAGGTTCTTTGAAGAACCTCTACGAGTGTTCCACCAGCGTCAACGCGAAGAACCCTTGAAGGTTCTTTGAAGAACCATTCGGGTTTAGAGTGTAGATACGATATAAAATATGATTATTATTAGATTAGTAGCCGTGGTGCAGTGGTTAAAGCAACCAAAGGTTGCGGGTTTAAACCCGCTTGTGGCATTTAAACGTTATCGGTGAAGTTGGAAACGAAGAATAAAATTAAGTGGCCTAGATTTGGTGGTTTTACCCTAAAAAAGTTTATTTAAAATTAGAGACCGTTGTTTTAAGTGCATTTTTAGTACTTAAATCATTTTTAAACATTGCACTTTGTTAGTTTTGTTTATTGTTATTCAATATTTTTATTAAATAGCACCGTTATTTAAGTGTAAGATAAATTTAATATGGCTTTTTCAATAATAATAAGGCTTCAATGTCATTTAGAAAACTAAATCGTCGAGGATAGTACAAAACCGCGTAACTAGCATTGGATAATATCTACGGTATCTACGGTACGTTTTTTTTACTGGAGAAGTTAAAAACTTTATATATTTTTTATTTTAACTGGTTTTGGGTTCATTTTAGTATAAAGGGTATTATTCATGTTTTTTGTAATCTTAACAATAAATATTTGGTGTTAAAATTAATAACATCCAAATATCCTAGTAAGTTACGCGGATTCGCACTACCCCTACGAAATATTTACTATTGTTTTTATCTATCTTGCTTTTTAATCTTTTATCTACCTTGCTATTAAAAATACGCAAACAAAAATAATCGTTCCGAATGGGATATGATCTAAACACAACCTTTCTAAATATATATATTTAGGTACGCGCATATCGTCATTTACGGAACCGATTTTTGTGCTAAAATTTTGTGACTCGTTTTTTTCACTTTTTTTTAGGCAGCGTGGGGTAGACGTAGTTTTGTTGAGTTTCTTTTTAGAAATATATATACACATAGATACTTTTTGGAAAGAAGAGAAGCTAATCTTTATTTTTTTTAAACTTTTATGTATGGTTACTAAACTTTTAAACGGATTATTTTGCTCCTGAATATTTGGTTGATGTTTTCACATAAATTTGTAGTCGAAGGCATGAAGTTTCCGCTTTTTGTCAATTTTTATCCAAATACCTATAACTTGATATCAAAAGATAGGTGCACTGACGGGCTACAAGTTTATATAGGTGCCTGGATGTAGGGTGTATCTTGGGAGCCAGAAGGGGTAATGAAACACCATCTAACCCTTAAGAAAATACAAGTTTTTGTCAGAAATAAGCACTTTTTTAATGTAATTGTTAGATTTTATACATAAAATATTGCCATAACTTGATTCCAGAACACTGCCAAACATAATAAGGTGATCTTAGAGTTGGCCGTAGATGTGGTTATGATGTTATAACACCCTAATACAACAATCATACATTCTAATAAATAATTTAATCGTTATTATAGTAATTAAATACTTTGTTAAAAAGTAAAAATATATATTTTTACTATACAACATACATTAGTGATGTACACACTAACTTTAAAGAAGTGCACCGCCCCCCCCTGCCCCAACGCATAACAAAAAATAAAAATAATTAAATCTTTATCAAAATAACTAAATGTATTGTTAACAAGTAAAAATAATCTTTTATTACTATTCAACATATATTATTGATGTATACATTGACTTTAAATAAAGGGAGTCTAATGCACCACCTCTCCCCCCCCCCCACCTGACAAAAAATAATGTCATCTTTATTTCAATAATCAAATGTATTGTTAAATAGGAAAAATAATCTTTTATAACTATACAACATACATTAGTATTGAAAATATTGTTGTATTACATAAAGCAATATTTTTTTACTATAGAACATACATTAGTGATGTACAATTTGAGGAGAAGGATGGTTTTCCCCCTTCCCCTTAACCAACGTAAAAAAGAAAAAAAACATAGAAATGATATTTTCAACATTTTCACATGCAATTATTAAAAAGAGAAAGCACAATACAGAATTGTTTTACCAGATTGCACGAGTATACATTTGCACGAGTATTCATTTTCTCGAGTTTACATGTATTCAGTTGCACGAGTATACATTTTCTTATTTAAATGATCATATTTAACCAATAACAACCAATCTAATAAAAAACAAACAAAAAAAACAAATGTTTTAAAACATAGTAATTAATTTATGTCTTGGGTTTTAGTAAATGATTTTAATTTTAAGTTCCAATGCAACTAAATAAATCATTTTTAACAATAGACACCACGTGAAGGTAAGCCAGAGCTGTCTATCTTTTTTTTTTTCAAGCCACAAAACTTGCTATATCTATTTGCAAGCCACAAAACTTGCGGTTTTTGATTCTCCTTTTATAGCACTTGGAGAGATAACAAACACAAAAGTATTAAATAGATTATATAAATAGGAATAAAAAGAACTCAATAATCAATCCGAGACATTCCAGATTCATAAATTTACCATTTAAAGGTGGTGCAGATGGAACTAAAAGTAAAATTTGTTTTTAAATAAAAAATAAAAACTGGCAATAAAAGCATTCATAGTCTAAAAAGTAATAATTTTTAAACTTACTTGACGTAACAGCTGAAGATGTAACTATAAAAAGAAAGTTTTCATCAAAAACCAGTTGATAAGAAATGCAATTGCAAAAAAGAAAATTCAAAAAAGAATATGCAATTGATAAGAAATGCATACACATGTTAAAAGAAAAAAGTTTTTGAAACTTACCAGGCGTAGCACATGTAGAAATAACTAAAGGTAAAAAATATCTTATAAAAATCAATATTGCAATCAATGATAACTTTATGCGTATTAAAAATAGTTGTTTAACTTACCAGGTGTAGCACAAGAGGTAGATACTAAAATTACAAAGTTGTAACAAAAAATCAATATTGCAAATAACGAGAAATGCATACACATATTAAATTTATAATTTTTTTAAATTACTTGTTGCAGCAGCTGACTAAGGAACTAAAGTTAAACATATGGTAAAGTTTGCACATTAAAAATTAAGAGTTATGTAACTTACCAGGTGTAGCACATGAGGTAGATACTAAAATTAAAAAATTAATATTGCAGCAAATGGGAAATCCATACACGACAAGTAATAAATAAATAAGTAAGACATACATATTTATTTATATTTCTTTAATAGTTAATTAAAGTTATGCTATAATAACTTACAAGCTGTAGTCTGTGCAAATTGGCCTAAAGATAACAAAAAAATTATATAATTAAAAAAAAAAACATCTTGAAATTGTCAACAGTCAATAAAAATAACAGTTATCAAATCAGTTCTGCTTTACGTACAACAACCTTTCTAACAAAAAAAAGTAATAAAAAAAAAAAATAAAAAACATAAATTGTATTACTGTATTTTAAAATTGTATTACTGTATATTAGAAAAACACTAACAAGATACTTTTATAAGAACAAACTTATTATTGTAAAAGTATCTTTATATTTTTACAAAAATAAGCTTATTAATAATAAGCTTATTTATGTAAAAATATCAATAATTATTGATATTTTTTTATTGATATTTTTTAAGGATAAGTTTAAAAACCTAAATCTTTGTTTACATCATGATGATGTAAACAAAGATTAAGGTTTTTAAACTTATCATTATTGTTTTGTTTTTTAAAAAAGTTATTATTACCATGAAAAACAAATTAACTTACTTTTTGAAGTCTTCTTTGTCATGACTTTTACCATTTTTATTTATTAAAATAATCTAATATTAAAAATTAAATAATACAATGTAGTAATAATTTTTTGTTTACCATTCGCCACCCCCCTATCCACCCCGTATTTCTCTTACCGATAAAAAAAAAACCTAATTTAGGTACCAAAAGTCCTACACTTCTTGGCGCTACTGCAGTTTCTCCCCCCTCTTTTTTATTGTTGATTATGATAGAGAATTTTATGCTGATTAAGAATCGTATAAAAACATAGGTCTGAAAATCAACAGAAAGTGCTATAATTCGATCTTGAAGTTTTAAAAATTACACTAAAAAACGCTAATATTCGCCATTTTTTTTATTCTCGGTTATATTAAAATTCTTTTTAAAGATGATTTTAAAAAAGCCTGGTTTCTATCAACAATTTAATGCAAAACTTTTAAAAAATGCTCAGCGCATCATTTTCTGATTTATCTCTTACCCAAACCCAAACCCTGTCTCAAATCATGTACGTTTAATCGCGACAATCTCTATTTGTCAGTCGATGTATGTGTATTTAGTTGTGCCAATCCCTATTTGTCAGTCGATGTATGTACATTCAATTGCCCAATCCCTATTTTTCAGTCGATGAGTGTACATTTAATTGCGCCAATCCCTATTTTTCAGTTGATTTATGTACATTTAAAAAGCAATATTTGAATTTATTTTTAAAAAAATAATTAAAGTTATATAAAATAGAGGGGCGGGGGGGGAGAAACTGCAGTAGCGCCCACTTCTTATACTATCTGCTCCCTAATATTTTTGGCTGAAATTTGGCATGTACAAAGAAAATACATGCAAAAAAGTGCCTGAATAACAAAAAAAGCGGAAACTTCATTCCTTCGATAACAACTTAATGTGAGAACATCAACGAAATTTTCATGAAAGTTTTTAGAAAAACAAACCATAAAAAAGTTTAGTGGTTATACATAAAAGTACTATAAAAATCAAGCCTAACCTTTCTTCTTTCCAAATATAATTTTTGTTTATATATTTATAATTTTTGTTTATATATTTTGTTTATATATTTCTAAAAAAAAACACCACTAAAAACGTTTGTCTAACCCTACCTCAAAAAAGCAGTATATTTATTAAATATATTATATCAATATTAAGCAGTATATTTATAATATATTATATTAATAACATGAAGCGGCCATATCGATACGCGTGCTTTTATATAACTCTACTTAACTACTTAATAGTCCGCAATAATAAACCACAAATACAACGACCGTGTAGATGACATCACTGTAACAATGACCTCTATGACTGGTGTTGTATCTTGTAGCACAAGCAGATGTTGCTTCAATAAGTTTTTCAGCAGTAAGCTCTATGAAAATCTTGTTATTTTTCTGTCTGCAAGAAATATGATTAGACTCTGAGATATCTGAATCATATTCAGAAACTGAATACTCAGATGTTATATCTTCATTTTCAGAAACCTCAGTTTTCTCTGTAACAAAGAATTGTTTTTCTGAACTCTCTTTTTCTCTTTCTGCCTTTCAATCTGATCTAATTTTGCTTCATTTCAATCTGAATAAAAAGAAAATTAAAAAAACAGCAAAATAAATTATCACTTTTTTCAAGTAGTCCTTGTCTTCCCCTAAAATAATTATCTTTCTCTCTCTTTTCTGATCCTCCAAGAAGGTTAAGTCTTCTTAAACTTTTTCATGATCGCGATCTTGGCTTATCCTCTGCTTGAAATCTAATCTGGATATGTCGAAAAGCAAATCAAATTCTTCTAAAAACAAATTATGATTTGATTGTGCTTTTTTCTTTGATCGAATTTTTGTCACTCGAAGTAAATTTATGTATTTTTTCTTGCAAAGCTTTTTGCAAGAAAAAATACATAATCTTGCAAAGCTTTTTTCTAAAAAATAAGAACTGCTTTTTAGGGGTTCAAATTATGAAAAACATGAAATGTTTAAATGATGAATGTTACATAGAAACAAAACATTTAAAAAAATATAAAATAACCTTATGACTGAACCAGCCTGAATTGGACCTCGAAATCCTGCTCTCATCCAAACTCTCTGAACTTCTTTCACCACACAGTTATTTCCATCCTCACCGTCACACTTGTTATCTTGGCAAACAAGATCAAATTTACCCTATTCCTGAGGACAACCCATATTTTCCTTGCAGAGCTTGAATTTAAAGCTTTTGTCTAATTGCAGATATAGGTAGTACCTGACAAAAAATAGTTATATTATGTATTTTTTAAATTTAACTTTGATTAATTTAAATTTGAGTTAGATAAGTTAAAATTAAATAGAATGAACTTACGTAGTCAAGTTTTCAAAGGTATTAAGTTATCAAAAGTATTAGAACCTTAAACTGTTTCCAATAGTAGGAAGCTCTCTATCTGGTAGACCATTGATGGGATATTTCAAGAGGTAACAAGTTCTCCTTGGATTGGTAGGATAACTATACATTTTCTTTTAACTTTGCCCATTTTGTTCAATATTTTATTTAGCTGGAAATAAAACGTAAAGTAAAACTAGTCTGTTTATTCAATGTAGAATTGAATTGGCAGTGACTGATTGTTTGACACTAAATAAACGGCTAAGGATAGTTTTAGTATTTGCAATTTTTTTTTAAGTAAAAACTTTATGAACTTTATTCCAAAAAAGTAAAAAAAAAAATTTTAATATTAATAAAAATTAAAAGATTTCTTATTTTTAACAAAAATTGCAAAAAAGCAGCATCAACGCAATCCTGTTAAACTTGTCCTACAGTTTTAAAACTTTAAATTTAATTAAAACTTTGGGGTCGAGACATATTTTTAAAAATTGCCAATCCGTCATCACGGTTTTAACCTGAAATCATTTTTATTATAAAATTGTGCAATTTGAAACAGAAGGTAAATTCCCACAAGTTTGCATACTTCTGCACCGTCAAATGCTCCCATCAAAACATCAATTAATCCACTTGATTTTTTAATCTAACTTGATCAACATTAAAGAGTAATGATTTCTTTGGGTGATAAATTAATGATTTATAGTTAGGGTCAATAGTTAGATGCTGCTCAGCAAAATATAAAGCATTGTTAAGAAGTTTTTTAGTTTTCGAAGGGTAGAAATTAACAATACAATAATATCAGATGTTTATCACTATATATATATATATATATATATATATATATATATATATATATATATATATATATATATATATATATATATATATATATATATATATATATATATATATATATATATATATATATATATATATCCTAACTATATTCTAGGAATTAAACTTTAATAAGAATTAAAATCAAATAAGAAATAAATAAGAAAAAAAGTCTAATACTTTTTACTCTAAGACTTTTTTGATAAAAATGAAAATAAACGTTTAAAGCTATTTGTAAATTTTGCAAAATAGAAATATCAAGAATTGAAATACCTGACAAAACTTTTTTTTTACATTTTGCATTACATTTACTCTTAGTATAGTTTGGATCCAAGTCATAAAAATTGCTTTCATATTTTATAAAAAAAACACTATAAGCAAATATTTAAAGGTTTACTTCAGCTCATACATGTATTTTCGTTTATGTAATAATTATATGTTTGCATATATATTGAAACATAAAAAAAAAAAAAGTGATTTTTCAAAACAAACGGCATCGGCCGATGGTTACCAAGACCGATGCCAATGCCAATGCATCGGCTAAATGGTCGATACATTGGTGCACCCCTAATTTTATACAATAAAATTGTTAGTTTTTCGTATAAGCATAATAAGCATTTTTTTAGTTATGTTGATATAGGCAGGGCCCTTTTTATGATAGACCGTGTTAAATTGGCTGTTGTTTTTAAATTATCTCTTGTATCACGTAGGTATTTTGTTTATATTTATTTTTCCACGAAAAAAAATCACATTTTTTATCTGATGATTGCATTTAGCATGAAACTTATAGTTGTAGAAAATAAGTAGTTTTATTTATAAAAAATATATAAATACAACTATGTTTGTATATATATATATATATATATATATATATATATATATATATATATATATATATATATATATATATATATATATATATATATATATATATATATATATACATATATGTATATATATATACATATATGTATATATATATATACATATATACATATATGTATAAATATATATATATGTATATATATATATATATATATATATATATATATATATATATATATATATATATATATATATATATATATATATATATATATATATATATATATATATATATATATATAGAAAGAAAGAAAGAGAGAGAGAGAGAGAGAGAGAGAGAAAGAGAGAGAGAGATATTTGACCGATATTATCAACATAATATAATCAACAGTGTCCTTTTTATGTTCCCATAGTTCATATTACTTGCATTTTTTTGACAAAACCTCAGTTCTTTTGCCTTTTAAAATCAGTGTTACAATCTTGGAAAAAAGTTTTAGACCACTTGCGAAAAACTGAAAATTTAATGAAAAAATTATTACAGTACAAAAAATTGGTTCAAAAATTAAAAATTAATGCATGTCCACAGCAGCTAAAATCAAAAGTAGCACCAAGTTATAGCACCAAGTTATAGCATTTTATTTTAGGAACCAAAGTATAGCATTTATACGTGGTGGTCTTAGACTTTTTTCCAAGACTGTACAACACCATTAAGGGATGAGAAACCCGTTTTTGCTATGCTCCACCACCATTGACTTTTGCATTCTGCGAAAAATTACTAGTTGTTTTCATACCAATTAAAATAAACTCTTTTTCAGCTTCAGTCATTGATTTTTGAAATGTTTGTACATAAGCATTATGTAAATCACAATTTAAGTCACCCAAAACTTGTTTGAGATCTTGGTGGAGGCGAATTTATACACCTGCAAAATGTTTCATAAGGGAGAATACCTTTTTTTTTTTTACATTTTTGCTGTTGTTTACAAAAATAAACAAACAAGGCTTGAGAAAAAAGATCATAATGATCTGATCAACAGAACCTTTTACAAGTTTTTTACATTAATACATAAATAAGACTAAAAATTACAATAAATCGTGGTATAAATTGAAAATATAAATCAAACCACAAATGTTATGTATATATATATATATATATATATATATACATAACATATATATATATTATATACATATATATATATATATATATATATATATATATATATATATATATATATATATATAACATATATATATATATATATATATATATATATATATATATATATATATATATATATATATATATATATGTATATGTATATCTATATATATATATATATATATATATATATATATATATATATATATATATATATATATATATATATATATATATATATATATATATATATATATATATATATATAGATAGATAGATACAGATAAAGGCACTTTAACTTACTTTTTTTGGTACTTCCCCAAGCTATGTTGGCATAATTTATATACGTGTGAATAAATGAGTAATTAAGTTGGATCAAGCCCAAAGTTTTATTAGAGTTCAGTGAGAGGAAATAAAGAGTTGTCATTCGATTCTAAACAAATTTCTTACAGAAATAGCAGGTTTATTTATAACATTTTTCGTAACATTTGATACTGTTTTATCATCATTTCTTGTAACTTTTCCTCAAAAAAACAATTTTTTTTTAACCTTAGGAGTACTTATACCTGACTGAACCCATTTTCAAATAAAAACACTAACAAATCTTTAATTATAACTCTATTTAAACTTTAAAAATTGACTAATGTCCTTCAGGAACTCTATTTTAAGAACAATTATTGTGATTTCAACGTACAGTTTATAGCCTAAAGTAATATTTAAGGAGAAATCTAATGTCTAGAGCATTGTTTGGCAAAAATTTATAGTCTTTTTGATTTAGAGGATATTAAAGAAAAAGTGTTGCTAGGTCGTTGGTATGAAGCCAGAATCAAACTGCTTTTTAAATAACAGCAAATTTAATGAAAATTAAGATTTACAACTTTTTGCAAAACACATGTTGAAATATAGATTGGTAGATTGAAGAAACACAATCAAAAATGCCTTTTGGTATTCTTTTAAATTTTACCAAAAAACAGCCATTTTTATTTGGTACCATCTTAATTTGGTAAAATAAATATTTTTTTTACTAGTACATTATTTTATGTTTTACCCATGGCTATCTTTATAGTTACAGGCCGTGTAAACGGACAAAATTTCCGATAAACTGGGGGCCATTGAAGAATATAGGTGTTTTATGTCTTATAATTATTAAACATAAGTAAATGTTTTATTAACATCAAATTAGATAAGATAATTTTGCTACAAAATAGATAAAATGCATAATTTAAAAAAGTTTTCCTTAAATTAAAAATAATCAGTTTAAAAATCTTATAAAACAACTCCAGATTTCTTTTTCATACTGAAACCATAAAAGTCAGATATTGACATAAATATATTACATATTGACTTTCGACATACTTTATCAGTAAGAAGATGAAACATGATATAACAAAACATGGTCCATTGACAGGCATTGTCGAACGGTATGTTGAGACCTCCACAATTAATCTCTTTAACATAGTCCCCATATTTTTCATAATAAAATTTTGTTCCTTTGCTTGTTTCAGTTTTTGTAACATATCCAGAAATGTAAACTAGGGCTTTTTTAACATTTATATCCAGCTTTTCTTCCAGTTCAAGTAATTTATGAAAAACACTTGATGAATCGCCATCTAATAAATACTTACACTATTCACAATCATGAACTGCTTTATTCTTTAAATTTGCTGTGTGTTTATAAAATAAGTCCCACCAGACCCTTGTCAAAGCTTCCCAAACATTTTTTCTAAAGGGTCTGTTGTAAATTTACCAAGTACCACGTATCGAAATCCAGAGTTAATAAGGTACTTGACAAGAGCAATTATTCCTGAACATGTATGTCAAAGTGCTGTCCCTGTATCACGTGTGAGCTGACACTGCCTTTGTCCTTGACTACTGGTCATTTTCTGCGCTATACAAGCAATTTTGCTCAAAAAAGTCTTTCATCATTTTCTGAAGATATAACAGCTCTATCATCATCGCGAAAACGTAAGTCTGCATATGGTCCTTTAATATTTACAATTTTCCAAAACTTTAATATAATTTCAATAAATTGTATGGTACCGTCTGATTTACCTATGTTAGAACATGTCTTGAGCGCAGCTAATATTTCTTCACAAAATATGCAAAGGACAAGTTGATACTTTTTGTCTTTCAATGGGTTTTGGTGCTACCGCTACATTGTTAAGTTTTGAAAGTTTAACTAAACTTCCTTTTTCAGTTTCATGTAAATGTTTTTAATCAGACCACAAAGCTGATTTCAATTCACCATCATCTTCAAACTTTAGTGTTTATGTTTTCTCAGTTAGCCAGTTGTTTCGCACTGACTTTATTAAATGGACAAAGTCATAAAGTAAAAATATATTACTTTCTGTTTTCCATGGCTCCCTACATGTAAACTTAGAGTAAAAAGACTGGTTGATACGATTGTTATCACAAATGATAGCAATTAACTCTCCATCAGATTTATGAATACAATCAATCAAATGATTTTCCTGCTCAAATAAAAAATCAGCATTAAGTTTGAATACTGGCAACATACAACATAAATATTTTGGACCACCACAAATAGAAAGCATCATAAAACTTAAAACAGTTGATGCTAATGAATCAGGTTTGTTTACAGCCTTTCCTAATAAATACCCAGAGCAATATGTTTTTACGTAGACTTCATCTATTAATAAAATACATTTTTTTTCATAACTGTTTTTTGTCTTTTTAAAAATCACTGACATATTCAAAATTGTCAAAAGAAGAATTTATTTTTGATGTAATTTTTTGAAGAAGTGAAATACTTGAAAGTTGGTAGTCTTGTCTCAGTCTGTCATACAGCGATCTAGATAAAGAATAATACTCAAAAGCATAAATAATTATTTCAGGATTATACTTTTTTTTTCCAACGATAACAGGACTCATTGAATCAAAATGTTCCTGAGGTACATTAACTTTGTTGCTTTTTATTAAAATATTAAGGTCTCCAGCATTCTTCAAATTGTGAAAATGATTTAAACTTGGTTACTCCATTTTTTGATAAACTTTGGATTGTATACTTTATACTACAAAAAAATCCTTCAAAAGTCAAATCACTCTTAATTTTTATCAAAACTCTTGGTATTGATGTGTTTTCTTCTAAACCAGTAGACTGTATGCATAATGTATTGTTGGTAAAGTACGAAATAGAGTGGATCAAAAAGTCAAGACTGCCGGTTTCAACCTTATTTTTAAGATGCTCAAAATTGGCTACTTTATCTTGATGATTGAAAAGATGGAGTTCATCTGGAAATTTATTGCGCACTTCAGACAAAGTTTTATTTGTTTGAGATGAACCAGGTTTTGTAGGAACAAGACTTGGTTTCACACAAGAAAATAGTGAAGGTGGGTCACGAGGTCTTTTTTTACCATGCTTAATTATTGTTATATAATTGGGTGGAAAATGACGTTCTCATACAACAGTATTGTTGCTATCAGGTATATTATCCCGTGGTATTATAGAAATCCATCGAGCATGTTCTTCATTATCAGTTGGTAACCGAAACACCTTTTCTTAATTTTCTTTATTATAGTTGCCATTGCAACTTATTACACAACATTTCTTTGGCATTTTATAAATTTAATAATAACTATAAATAACACATACAGAACAATCGATAAGTTTTTATATTGTACAATATATTGTTAGTATAAAGATTGCCTTTGAAAAAAAGTTTCTATCACTCTTCAGTTATATATATTTTAGAATCTATATTTAACTTCTCGCTTTAACTTTTGCTTAACACTGGCCCCCAGTTTGTCGCACAAATTGTCCGTTTACACGGCCTGTTAGTATAAAGATGGCCATGGTTTTACCCCTTCACACGCTACCGGACAATAGTAACACCATTTTTTCAAGATTAAAAAAAAAAAAAAATCCTACTAATGGGGCAAATCTAAAAAGCTTTTAGATTTGCCCCATTAGTAGGATTATGCAATAGTGAAAAAAAAAAAGATTAAAAAATATTTATAAATATAAAAATTAATAAAAAAATATTAAGCTTTGTAATTAATTAGTTGAACTATTTCAATTTAAATAACTTTAAAATTTTTTTGTTTAACATACCCCCCCCCCCCACCTTCTTTCTAGACTTTTCACATGAATTACAAATAAAAGAATAAAAATATATGGAGAACCGTTTTAGACTCTAAAAATATTTTTAAATTGAAATAAAGTTGATAGAAAATTTTTCAAAAAATAATTTTGAAATATATATTTCAAAATTACAGAGGTTGGAGGTTGGGAACAATAACAACAACAAAAAAATTTCTATAATATCATGAACTAGTTTAAAATTCATCGACATATTTCAAATTTTGACAAAAAATCGGTATTTAAAAGCTACGATAACAGTGAAGATTTTCCCATGATACAGTGTAAAAGTTAGGTCAAAAATATAAAACTTTAAAAGTTTGTATAAAACTGTATTTAAAAATGATATTAAAAAATTTAAAAGCTCACATCGCAACGTCACAATAGGTTTGTAGGCTCACATCGGAACGTCAGAATATGTTCGTAAACTCATATCAAACGTCTCAATAGGTTCGTAAGAGAATTTGAGAGTAAAATATTAATAATAATGTAACATAGGTTGTCAGAATGTTAGAATAAAATAAAAAGCTTATATAGGTACCCTAGTCAAAAAAAGTTAAACTTGACACTCATTAAAACAAATAAGTTAATAAAATTTTAAGTAATAAATTTTTTGTAATTTTTTCTTTCTAAAATTCTATAAAACTTTTTAACAGAATTATATAAAAAACATTTTCAGAATGTCAAAATAAAGTAAAAAGCATGTGAACATTAAAATAATAAAGGATTGTAGATTAGGTTTTGAAATAAGCACATAAATAAAAAATATTATTCCCATTCAACAGTTCCAGGAGGTTTTGACGTAAGATCGTACAAGACTCTTGATATACCTGGTACAGTATTTATTTTGCGAACTATCTCTTGTAAAACCTAAAAATACAAAGAATATATTGCAACCATCTATTTAATATATTGCCGTGCTAAGCGAAAAAGCAGTGTCTCCAATTTTGGTCATAATTGAGATATTGCTACCTGGGGGTTAACCGTCGTTTTGTACCATTTTTCGCAGTAAAAAAGCAGTATATCCAGTGTTTAACACTGAAAATGAGCATTTGAAATTAAGAAAATAAACAGTAGGTCCATAGTTTTTGTGAAACTAGAAGCAAAAATACAGTAAATCCAATAAGTAGCAAATAAGCAGTAAGTGACGTGAGTTACTGTAACTTCGCTTTTTTCAAAACATTTCAAAGCTTATTTTCAAAACGGATCAGTAATGTGTCTAAATCTTGTTTAGTCGATTTCCCAACGTTTTGATGGAGAGCACGGCAGTATATATTACAATCAAATTAACTAACATGGAGAGTTTGTATTGTTGAACAAATAAATTCAATACAACTTTGAAGCACCGCTCCTTTTTTCGGATAAAGGGTTGTATATTATTCCCTTTTTCCTAAATAATAAATAATAATCTATTTAAAGTTGGTTATTATTTAAAAATATTTTGAGTTGTTATTAGTGGCATATTGCACACTAAATTTAAAAGTAAAATATATATTATATTCTAAAATATTTACATTTTAAAAAACTTTCTCTATTGTACATTAAATGTCATATTAAAGGTTTGGCAGGCTTTTAAATAGAAAAATTAAAGACCATTTGGTTTCTTTTTTGCTAAAGCATTCGAAGGTCCATATGTAACGTCAAAGGATGATAAATATGTAACTGGATATGTTAGCATCTCTGCAAATTATTTTCGTTATCATTTACATACATCTGAAGCTTTCTTATATCTGTCCTTACTTATTTCAGCATTTTATCTATCATGCAACACGAGCTTCATTAATATCTGTCATTATATGCAGAAAAACAGCACGAAAACTAGTTAATGGAGCGGACTAACTAATTTTAAATAAAGAAATTATCAAAGCGGTTTAGAAACTAAACGGAAAGATTACCATTTACTTTCCTCCGTTTTTACTTTCCTCCGTTTTATAACTGGCCAGAGTTTTTTTCTTAACGGACATTCAACTGTATAAATTTCAAAAATAAAATTTTGATCAACCCAGAAAATTTTCGCCCACTTTTGATTTCAGAAAAAATGTGTTTAAAAAAGTTGCTTTGGTTTCTAATTATAGGGTCAGCCCAAATATGAGGTAACAAACTAAAAAACATTTTTTCAGGCGGAGTGTGATAGTAAAAAGTACATAACATCTACTGATAAAATTGAAAAAAAAGTCAAAGACATTACAAGTTAGAATGATAAACAAACCGAGATCTATTGTCAAATATTGCAAGCAAAATTTTCACAAACTTTTCAGTTTTACATAAATTTTTAACACCTATCTTAATCATAGCTAAGTCCAAATCAAAAAACAATTATTACATATATTTATGTGTTACAACATATTCATATTATTTAACTAGTTTGGAAACGCGGGCCGTTTTCTTAAAACACTTAAGTTCCTCTCGAGTCTCAGCCTACTCTAGAGTGCATCAAATTGTAAACATTGTATTTCGCTATAGATAAGTTATATATATGCTGGGATAAATATTGAAATGGCATGAACAAATTGTGATTTTTTTGGTTATTCAGTTTCAAGTTAATATTTTGATTGCATATATATTTTGTATTCCGAATAAAAATGATGAATATAGCATAAAATAAAGACATCAACTGTTAATAAATGTAGTTATGTGACAGAGTTTGTATTGGTATAAATATGCTTATTCAACCATATAGCTTATATCATATAAGTATTTAAGTTATATACTATATGAAAATATGTAATAGATGCAAACATTTTATCGACTGTATAACTTGATGGATGTATATGGGTATAAATGCTTTGTATTATATTCAGAGTATATTTATTTAAAATGTTAGCTAATATAGCTTAATAAACTCTATATTCTATATATAGTTTACTTAGCTGGATTAGTTGATAATTTATATATCACTCTTTACACTGTGTTGGTATCTTTTCTGGAAACAAGAAAAAATCAGGTACAATTTTATCATTTTGAATGGTTTCAAAGCTAAATTAGATAATGTTGGTATCTTTAAAGATATCTGTTAATTAATACAGCATATTTATCTACCTTAGAGAGAAAATTATATCTTAATTATTACCTAAATTATATTAAAAATAGTGATTTGTTGTTTAATTTTCTACCTTACAAGGAAAAAAAATTTTACTTTTAAAGATATAATTTTTTACCTTAGAAGGTAGAAGATTTTAACTTACTATGTGCATATCACACATTCTACCCTACGGTAGAACTTCTACCTTTAGTGCTATACTAACAATAAATGTTGAGCAAAAATATTTTTCTACTTTTATTAATAAGCAAGAAACTTAATCAGTAAAAAAAATTAGGATTTTAATAAATACTTTAAAAATAGCTAGTATACCAAAGATTCTTAAACTAAAATTCAAAAGCTTGTGTATAAATTTTTGTTTTTATTATGTTGTATTGCAATTTATATAATAGCAAATAAAAAATATATACTTGATGCAATAAAGATGATGCAAAAGTCTGCTACCAAATATTGCATCACTATCATACTTAAATCAAATTTAATTCAATTATAAAAAAAGTACAGTGTATTAAAAGAAGATTGCAGAATTATTTTAAATCTTGATTTTAAGCTATAATTTAATATCTATTTTGTTGAATGCAGCAATATAATATCTCAAAATCTAAGGTTATCTTTAACTAAAATAAGATATTTATGTTAATTTTTTAGTTTCAAAGTCAACTGCAGTGTATGATGATATACTTGACTAATCTAGACGATATACTTGACTTTTACAACTGGTGCCACTTCATGACTAATGTTTCTTTTGCTTTAGAAAGCAATCAAAATTTCTTAAAAGTTGTTGCTTGTAACTTGCGATGTTTATGCAAAAGTTGTTGAAAAAGCATTTTAAATGATTCGTTTATGCCTAATCCACCACATTAAAATAAGACAACTCGTTTCTGTCTTATTTAAATATAACTTATCCAACTTAAAACAGATATATGTAAGGATGGTAAGTTTTATACAGTGGAACCATATTGCTTATATATTCTATGAAGACAGAGAATGTGGCCTTTGTATTTTACCTAAACTTACTTTTGAGCATATAAAGTTGGAAAAATATTTATTAAAAAGTGTTAACCTTGCTGCCTAAGTAATACGTTTTTGCTGTATTAAAAATTTTATTACATTATGGAATAGCTTATTTAAAAATTATTTCCGACAATAACAATCACTTAATGCTTGCAAGTGTAACCCATCATTTAATGACTTTCAATAATAACAAAATAAAAAATATTTTTAGTAGCTGGAAATGTAATGTATTTAGCTACACAGGTATTATAAAGTGGTAGTAATATAGCATTAAGTCATGCCAAAAAAAAAAAAGATGTTATTAGATTAGTTCAAAACTAAATATTTTTTATATATGTAAAATAGCAGTGTTGTCATTGTTATTTTAAAATTAAAAGACAATTATATTATTTTTATTATTTAATCTTTTATTGTTATTTTATTATAAAGTTACTACACCATAAAACTATTAAATATACATGAAGCATTTATTGAACAACTCTAGGAGCTAATTATATACCAATAATATTTTAAAAAAATATGTGGTTATGAAAATAGCCATTTTAGTATGTTCAAGTCATCTCACTTTTTCTTTAATGTTCTTGTTCCCAAAATAGAGGGTGTTTTTTAATTGATGTTCTTTTATATATCAATTTAGTTTGACTTTTTGGAATTTTGAAAGCTTTCAGGTTATATTTTGCAATGTACAATCTATGAACTTGTATGTAAAATAATAGATGATCTTGCATACTTAGCTGCAAGCAAATACGATAAACACTGCTCATTATACAACTTAGACATGTTAGAATTAAAACCAATTGTAAAATTAGAGGTACCAAAAACATCCCCACTAAGTCATAATAAAATGTTTTGTTTAGTAATGTAGAGGGATACATGCTTAAATGTTATAATATTATTGATAAAAGAGGTACCAGTCAGATAAACAAAGACAAAATTTGCTACTTCAAAACATGAAAGAAATTGTTTTTTCAGAAAAAGTTTTGTAGAATCGATTCTACAAAATATTTTCTGAAAAAAACAATTTCTTTCATGTTTTGAAAGCTACTTCATGTTTTGAAGCAGCATAAGTAGTGATTAATCAGCGGTAAAAAATTTCAGCATTCCAATCAAATGAATCAGTTACATTTTTACTAGGAACTAAGCTGTAATGACTTTTTCTTGAAATAATTGAAATATTTATACTTGATTTTAAACTTTTAATGTCAGCTTGTAGCAAATTACTATTTATCTGAAGCAAGCTTTACTGCAATCTTGATTAAATAATTATAAAATCTAATAGGTTGAAGAATAATCTTTGCTTTATTTTATTCTTTACTAAATGTTTATCAGTAATCTTGCTCTTGTGGTTGGCGTTGAGGTGACGAGTCACCGTGTGATATACATCGTTTCTTGCAAAACAAACACATAAATATTCTTTCTTTGCTTTTGGTTAGGATAAATTAAAATGGTAGATAGTCTAATGTTTGAACTAAAATTAGACTATCTCAATAGCAGCTAAAACAGCATCAAATTCATTCAAATTTTCAAAGTCTGCGCTACAAAAAGTCATTTTAAAAACATTTGATGCACTCTCAGCCCGGTCACCCTTTAAAGATAAAGTTATTTTACGAAATCTATAGAAAACGGCTCGCGTTTCCAGACTAGTTAAATACTATGACTATGGTTACAAGTACAATAAACTTCATTACATAAATTACATATTTACACATTAATTACCTATAGGAAACTAATTATGTTATATTATACTTATTAATGCTGTATATCTATTGCATATGCAAAAAAAAAAAAAAAAAAAAAAAAAAAAAAAAAAAAAAAA